TTCCAATTCTCCAATCCCCAAATCTCCAAATTCCCAAATCCCCAAATTCCCAAATTCCCAAATCCCAAAATCCCCAAATTCCCAAATTCTCAAATCCGCAAATTACCAAACTTCCAAATCCCCAAATTCCCAAACCTTCCAATTCTCCAATCCCCACCAAATTCCCAAATTCCCAAATTCTCAAATCCCCAAATTCTCAAATCCCAAAATCCCCAAATTCCCAAATTCTCAAATCCGCAAATCCCAAAATCCCCAAATCCCCAAATTCCCAAACCTTTCAAATCCCCAACCCCCAAAATTCCAAAATTACACCCCCAAAAGTAAGAGTGACCCGTCAATAACCCCAGCCTCCGTCGATCAGAGATTAAATATTCTCCGGTCCACAAATACCCGAAGCACTTCTTGCCGGACCGAGTGACCCTAATTCCCCAGGTGAATACCCGGGGCGACGAATTTTAAGTAGCCATAATTAAACTCGTTCTCCATTTATAAAACACGTAACATCGCCGCGGCAGATGTGGCGTAAACCCTAAGCAGAATAATCTGGCGGGAATGCAGATAGGACGGTAAAGGAGGAAGAATCCAGGAGGATGGCATCCGTGGAAGGAAGCGACGTAGCAGAAAATTGCAGAAGGCAGCCATCGTGGTGGCTGGTTGCTGGAATCGCGACGTTCGACCCTTTTTGTCGTTATCCACGTAATCGCGACTAATTTGTTCTGCACCGACCACAGGGAACACGGGAAGGAGGAGCTGCTCTCGGCTGGTAATCTGGTTAACATCCGTGTTAGGATTAAACCATTAGCCCGGTGGGAAAGGATACGAAGGGAACGACAACAGGAGCGGAGGAACTCGTGTACGACGTGCGGTCTCGTTCGATTATTTTCTACGCGATAGGTTATTTTGCCTCCGGATATTGCTTGCTTCTCTTGGAGGACAAACTATTCCTGAATAAGATGACAATGTACTGAAATAAGGTTACAGCATGTTATAATTTGTGTCGTAATATGGATGGTTGCGATGTTATTCGTGTACACATTTAGTCAGATAAATTTTGATGCTTCACTGTCTATGGAAATTAATATTCAGTACATATGTTGCTGATATTGCTTGCTTCTCTTCGAGAACAAACTATTCCTGAATAAGATGACAATGTACTGAAATAAGGTTACAGCATGTTATAATTTGTGTCGTAATATGGATGGCTGCGATGTTATTCGTGTACACATTTGGACAGATAAATTTTGATGCTTCACTCTCTATGGAGACTAATGTTCGGTACATATGTTGCTGATACTGCGGTTCCGATGTTTAATGATTATATTGAATTATTGACTCGAATGTGATCGCGTTATTTGTGTCGTATTGATCGGTAATGCGGTTTTCGAGAATTCAGGATTTGGGATTTGGGCAGGTGGTGTTCGGGAACGTTGATAACGTTCGAAATTTTTTATTTTGTCGAGTTGTGAAAATTTGACAATTTTGGGACTTTGAGAATTTTTGACAATTTTAGGACTTTGAGAAATATGGACAATTTTAGGACTTTGACAAATTTTTACAACTTTGAGACTTTAAAAAGTTTTGACAATTTTGTGAGTTTGAGAAATTTGGACAGCTTTGGAACTTTAAGAAATGTTTACAATTTTGAGATTTTAAGAATTTAGGACATTCAGAAATTAAGAATTTTATTTCTTCAAAATATTGGACTTTTGAAACTAACAGATTGAACATATTGGTAAGTTTAATACCAAGATTAAGTATTGTGAATAATAATCCAGAAAAAAGCACCTCAATCTTGAATTCAAACCCCAACTCAAAAATTCCAGGCGTGAAAATTACAAAGCCTACTTTCAATATCATTCTTCAACTTCTATTTGCTCCAATGAATTCATTAATATCCAGAAATTCTGAATACCCACGGGGAAGAAAAGTTGTTTGGCATAGGGAAGTTGCAGCCAATTTGCCGGATAAGCTAACGTGGAAGCATCGAGAGGCCACTCGAGGGATGCATCTCGAGGGCTGCGAAAAGGGGGAGTTTCTTTTCAACCCTGCCACACGGCGCGTTTTCATTAATAAACAAAACGCAAACGGCCAACGTGGCTCGCAAAATATGAAGAGAGAAAGAAAGAGGGCGAAAGAGAGAGGAACCCTTGCCAGTCGATTGAGCGTATACCGGGGTTGGCTAAATAAAACGAGAAATTTCACAGAGCCACTTGGATCCGTTCGCGAAAAACTTGCATCGCGTGCATACACGCGGCGATGCATCGAGAATCAGTCAGCGTGTGATTCGATCTCGACTGGGGGATTCGATTGATGAAAACTGGCTCGTTGGAGAATTGCTTTTCGCGGAAAAATGGGACATACAGCTCTTTTCCTGATTCTCTACCGATACTTTCGATCAATTTCGAACGATGATATGGATTTATTTGATATTGAAGCATTATACTGGTGGATTAAGAGAATGTCAAATGTTATTCAAATGATGTCACGTGACTTCTCATACCATCATTTTACTATACTATTAGTTCTACTAGGTATAATAGAGATTTCTTTTATATTACACTTTCATTAGTTTTATTATGAATACTATACTTACTATGTTACTAGTATTACTGTGGACTTTTCTTATTATACGACCATTTCACTATATGACCAATATGCAATATACGAGTCATCTTGGAGAAGAAATAAATATTGTAAAGTTCATCGGTGAAATAGCGAGTGCCGGTCGAACTTCGTTCCATTTCCATCCGTCATGAATATGACCGCGTGAAAAAAAACGCTACCCGTCCTCGACCCCCTAGTGGCCTCTCTTTCTTTCGCCCTTCCCAGCGATTTATTGTTTTTTTTTCTACCCGCCTGCACGATGACCACAGAGGGGCAGAGAGAAGGACTTCGCTTCTGTTGGTGCCATCGGCCAGGACCCACGGATATTATACTACCCCTGAATTATACGTCCATAAAAACGTGATGAAGCGGCCACGGACTGGCAGAGGCCGGCAAATGGCTCGAAAAATCAAAGAGAACGGGAATAATGGTCACCGAACGGCCAGACAGGCTAATATATTCGTTTTTCTCGCTACGATTCGCGTTGCTGTCCACAACCAACGACAGAGCCATTATTTTCGTTCACGATGACACGTTTGACGAATCCCTTGGACGGAATTATGAACCTTTGCAAATTTCTTCTCGCGTTTTATGCTTCGATGTTTTTCATTGGGTTTCGAAGCTTTTAGCGTCACGACAGTTCGGGAAAAATTTCGAGGTTTAGGCGGGAAAGTTTAGAGGGGAAATTTTTTTATGGATGCATGAAATATAGAGGAGGTTAAAATACACTTTACCACGCGTTGAATTGCCACTCGCTGAATTAACATGCGTGGAGTTACCACGCACTGAATTACTACGCGTAGAATTACCACGCGTAGAATTACTACGCGTGGAATTACTACGCGTAGAATTACCATGCGTAGAATTACCACCCGTAGAATTACCACGCGTAGAATTACCACGCGTGGAATTACTACGGGTAGAGTTACTACGCGTAGAATTACCACGCATAGAATTACCACGCGTAGAATTACCACGCGTGGAATTACCATGCGTGGAATTACTACGCGTGGAACTACCATGCGTGGAATTACTACGCGTAGAATTACCACGGGTAGAATCACCACGCGTGGAATCACCACGCGTGGAATTACTACGCGCAGAACTACCACGCGTCGAATTACCACGCGTAGAATTACCACACGTAGAATTACCACGCGTGGAACTACCATACGTGGAATTACTACGCGTAGAATTACTACGCGTAGAATTACCACGCGTAGAATCACCACGCGGGGAATCATTACGCGTGGAATTACTACGCGCAGAACTACCACGCGTAGAATTACCACGCGTAGAATTACCACGCGTGGAACTACCATACGTGGAATTACTACGCGTAGAATCACCACGCGTGGAATCACCACGCGTGGAATTACTACGCGTAGAACTACCACACATGGAATTACTACGC